TGTGTGTGTGTGTGTATGTGTGTGTGTGTGTGTGTTTATATATATATATATATATATATACATATGTATCATATACAAATATATTAACACATACACGAGATCGTCCTCTGCAGCGAGGCGTGTGACGCCCTTGAGGTCTCTGAGTGTGTGCGCGACCTTTGTGGCGAACATGGGCACCTCCACAACAGACTCTCCGGACATCGACCCACTAAATGGGACAGGGCAGGAGGAAAAGGGGACAAAAAATGTGCGTGTGAGAAGACGCGAGAGTACATCGACGCACTAAATGGGACAGGGCAGAAGGAAAAAAGGACAAAAGATATGCGTATGAGACGACGCGAGAGTACGTGTACATAAGACCAAGAGCCGAGTGCATCTGCTGTTGTAGCTGAGGAAATGAAGCGATGCTGTAGAGACCACCAACGGCTGAACGGTTGAGTGGCCGTGTGCCTGTGGTGGTACCCAGCCCCACAGTGTGCGGTAGAAAACCCCAAAACCCTGGAAACCCTAAATCCATAAACCCTAAACTCTAAGTCCCTAATCCATACATGCCCAAAACCCTAAAACCCTAAAACCTTAAACGCTCAAGGCGAGAACAGTGACCGCCCTGTGTGCCAACATACGTCGCCATTTCGCTGAACAGCTGAGTGATGGTCTGAGTCAGTCCTGCTCCCGTTGCCTTGACAGCCTTTGCGGACTCAATGCACTCGTGCGGTGTACAGTTCGTGTTGCCAAGGTAACCTGACGTGTGTTACAGGAAGTGGGGCAGCGTAACGGTATGAGAGAACAATAGACATAGCAGCACTGGAAGATAGGCATAGCTACGCGCGTATATGATACACACGCATATGTATATATGATACTACGGTGGGTATGTATAATACACACGCATATGTATACATGATACTACGGCGGGTGTTCTAATGCCCTTCCTTCTGTTGCTTATGTGTATTGTGGGTCGTTGACCGATTAAGTGGCCCCATGCATCCAAATGGGGTGCAATCGAAACCATTCCAAGTCATCACGACGGATAACACAACATAGTTGCGACAGATGAAGAACTATTGCAGAATACGTGCCCGTATGAATAGATAGTGTACATACATGCTAACACCATACATGCATGCATCACATACATACATGCAAACACCATGCATGCATGCATCACATACATACATGCATATATCATGTACATACATGCAAACATAACTAAGCTTAGGCAACCCCCCCTGAATACATTTATACGCGGCAGTGCTCCCTGAAGGCTAGTTGGCGCACACAATATATTATAGCCTACAATGTCTTACGATAGTCATTGCACATGCATGCATGGTTGCTGAATCAGCTGGCAACCTTTGTGCCTATGTGTGGTGCACATATGGAGCTGGCCAAGTAGTTAGAGGTGCGGAGGGCGGGAAAGCAGGGGGGTTGTCACTTTCAAATTCAAAAGACATATATATAT